TAGAGCAGGGGTGGGCAAACTCGGTCCTGGAGGGCCGGTGTCCTGCACAGTTTAGCTCCAGCTCTACTCAGACACACCTGCTTATAGATTTCTATTGATCTTGAAGACACTGATTAGCATGTTCAGGTGTGTTTGATTAGTGTTGGAGCTAAAGTCTGCAGGACACTGGCCCTCCAGGACAGAGTTTGCCCACCCTTGGCCTAGAGCAGTGGTCATCAAACTTGTTCCTGGAGGGCCGGTGTCCTGCAGATTTTCGCTCCAACCCTAATCAAGCACACCTGAACAAGCTAATTAAGCTCTTACTAGGTACACTTGAAACACCCAGGCAGGTATGTTGAGGCAAGTTGGAGCAAAACCCTGCAGGGACACCGGCCCTCCAGGACTGAGATTGGTGACCCCTGGCCTAGAGGAACACTGGAATGTGAATATGTGGCATGTAAAGCTGACTGTGTGCTCATACTGGTGGAGTATCTGGAGTCGGCGCTCTGTGGTTGGACTCAGGACAGTGTTGTGCCGATGGAGGCTGGCTAGCGTCTGAAAGTCCGTACTCGACCTCATGTAAAACCTGATGAAAGCGCATCTTCACGGATGACTGCTTTGACGGGGGCAATCTTCTGATCACTGGTGCCAAACTCATGAGGAATAAACTAATGTCGTCCTCCATGCGCTGCTTCCTGCGTTCCTCTCGCTCGCGGTCCCGAACCTCCTTCGCTGCCAGGTATTTTTCCACAAAGTCTGGCGTCACAGAGCGCTTGCGTTTTTTGGAGTTGGCCTGAACAGGCTCGGAACTGACAGCAGATTCTACGGAAATACTGAGGCTTTTTTCACTCTCGCTGCCGTCTCCCACTTCGTCGGCGCTCTCCTTAACACTGCTGTGAACCCTGTAAATACACACAAATTAACACCTTGCATTATAAATGACCAGGACTTCTTTCAAATATGGAGTGCTTGTGACTGATTTGTTTGTTTTAGTAGCTATGTTTCTATCTAAAAGATACAAAAAGGGAAAAAAAAAAAAAAAAAAAAAAAAAAAAAAAGGCAACTTCCTGAAACTGGAGCAAATATCAGACAGAGAAAAGTAGTTTGTGGTAGAAGCCAACGTGGTGTTTTCTTCTCTAATAAATGAATTGCGCCTCAGAAGATGAAGACGGAATGCAATCGATGGCTTTTGGAGGCATAAGACGCTTTTTGGGAGCGCAGACAAATCCTTTATGCTGCGTTCACAACAGACGCGGAAGCAGCGTCAAGCACGAGTGATTTACATGTTAAATCAACGCAAAGACGCAAACAGACATGCACGATTCACATGAAAAGTGTGCAAAACACGTCATTCACGCCGCAGCGAGTTGACAAATCTGAATTTAAGCAGACATGCGCGCTGCATTAACCAATCAGGAGTCTTCTCTTGTAGGGACGTGCTTATGACCAGGGCCAGACGGAATCATGCCATTTGATTCAATCATTGAACAATCATTGCCATTTCCGCGGACAATTTTGGTAAAAATCTGCGGAATTATTTTGGGAGTATCCAGCGGAGTATCATAACTAAAACCTTTATTTATGAAATAAAAAAAGTAATAATTAACTAAATAAAAACTGAATTAATTCAGATTTACACATTTACTCAAGTAAATAAACAGAATTAATGATGGGCTAAAAATCTGCGGAATTCTGCGCGCGCAGATTCCGTGTGGGCCTACTTATGACGTAGCGCCGGTTGTTGATGTCCCAGGGGGAAATCCTGGAGGAGTTGAGCTCAGAGCTGGGTGCACCTCTGAAAGGATGTAGCAGACTCAGACACTGCTCCAAACGTATTGATGCTGTTTTTCAGCCTTCATTAAGCACACAAACAGTTATTTATTTTCTCAAAATCCATGTTAGCCATTTAGCAGTGAAGCTAGAGTCACCAGGTAGACAGAAGCCATGCTCATGAGAATCCGCAACTATGGTTTTGTTAACTTGACGTGCTAATGAAGCGTGTAAACTCAAATGTTCACGTGTCTATTTATCCGCACATTCCGTGTCTGGTGTGGACACAGCATAAGACAGTTCTTGAGGGAATAATAATACTGAAGCAGTGTGATGACGGACTGCCGGCTAAGGCCTTTTACAATCAGCAAAACAACATTTCAGATATTTTACAATGTGCTGGAAATGCTGCGTTGTCCATTAATGCGTCCCATCACACACACCTTTTCATCTGATCATCGTCTGCGAAAAACTAAAAATCAAATAATTTTACTGATGTGCATACTGGAATTTTAGTAAATGAGTTTCCAGCTTAAATTTATGCATATTTCTTATCACATTATTACACATTGTTAAAACGTATGGGCATCTTGACATTTTTGTTAATATTTTTAGGCCATATAAAGTTGAAGTACCCCTCTGAAGGATCTAATGGACCCAGAAATGGTGCAGAACGAATCAAAGCCCTTTTTCAGCCCTCCATACCACAAAGCACAGCTACCCTCTCAACAAAATCCATCACTCCATTTTGCATTGTGTATTTCACGTCTGAAGGAAGAGCGTAAACTCAGTGCCTAATTTTAGCATGTAAATGTGCATTCGGTGTGAACACCCCATTATACATATTCTACAATTTATAGCATTTAAAAAAATAAATAAATAAAAAAATAAATCGTTCTCTTTAGCCCCTTTCATACATACAGACCTTTCCGGAAAATTACCAGCAATTTTCCGGAAAGGTCTGCATGTATGAACAGGCCCTTTTTGAAAATACCAGTAAATCAATTCCTGCTACTTTCTGGAAAGAGAAGTTGCATGGAAAGATTGCTGGAAAGAGTGTGTTCACGTCTAGAACGCTGACGTGGAACGTCAGTAGCCAACCAGTAGCCAAACGCGTAACTGCTTTAGCCAATCGAAACACTCAGGTGGATTCACGTCCGCGCAGTTTATGAGAATAAATGCCAACGAATATTTTCCAGACACATTCAGCTGCTGGATGTTAGTCCGATAACATTTCTATGTTCCTTCTTAATGCCAACTGTTGTAATGATTGATGGGTCAGATGACAATCATGTGAGACACACATCAGTTTTTTTTTTTTTTTTTTTTTTTTGTATTCTGATAGTCCTATGCGTAAAAGCACAACTCTTAATGATGAAGTGAAACGTAAGAGAAAGGAAAGGCGTCTCTGGCAGAGGGCGCGCCGAGCCAACAAATCAGCTGGACGAACTCTCTGTGAACCCCTTGCTACTTCTGTTGACCCTCTTGCTCGTAGTCGAACTCTGAATGAACTCCCAACTTGTACTTTTGCTGAACTCTCTACCGAGTTCGCACACCTGAATCTAAGTGCATAACTTTATTGCACATTATAACTCAAGGCTGATATTAAAATGCCTAAATGTTAATTTATATGATATAATGTACTCTTGATGACTATCTATATATATATATATATATATATCTGTCTTCTTACTGTTCAAGTGATTTAGCATGCTCCATGAATGTATGATTCAAGTAGTTTGTGCACCTGTGTTTAGGGTTGATTTATGAACACTGAGACACTGGGTATAAAAGCTGACATGTACTCTTCAGCTTTGCGCTTTCTGACTTCTGTATACTGAGAGTCATAGGCCTTTTATTCTCAAGGGAGGGTAAAGTAAGGATTTTGTTTCTGTTATTTGTCTTTTGTTTATTCTACTTTTTCCACTGGATTTTATTTTATTAATAAAAGTATATTTTATTACTTATCTTCACTGGAGTGGACATTGAATTCATTTTCCAGAACCCATCAAGTTACCCTGTGTGGTAAAGTATGAATCTAATTTGTTCTTTTGCAAAATACATTTCTAAAGACGTTCCTTTCACTACACTCTAGTTAAGAAATATAGAAGGGAGGATCTTAATTTTATCTTTGTGTAATTAGGGTGATTAAATAAAAGGCGAATCAGCACACTGTGTATATATATATATGCCTTTTTGATATGAATAATACACATGCATCTCGAACCGTAATGGGAACTGAAAACCATTCCACCACTAATTAATAGTATTGTTTGTACTAGGACAGAACAATCTATCAAAACATTATCATTACCGCAACAATAGCATATGCAATCTGTATTGTAGAGATGTGCAGTATATTATTTATTTGGTGAACCTAAATGCTAAAATTAAATATAATGCCAGAAGACAAGAGGAAAATAAGTCAATAAGTATCAGAATTTCCTAAGTTTTCAGTCATTCAGGGTGTTTAAGTCTAATTGTTTTTTATAATTGAATTAGCTTATTAAAATATCTATTACTTGTTTTAGTATGATCATTACATTAACATTTTAATTACTGATAAAAAGATTTAAGATGTATCATAAGAAACACTTAACAGCCGTACTGCATATTTCCCCAGTATCGTGCAGCTTTAGTTTGTACCTTCGTTGTTCTGACGAGGTGGCGAGGAACTCCATCATCTTCATAAACTTCCATGTTTTCTTCTTTTTGGGAGTCTGTTCACCAGTACACTGATCTTCTCTTTTTTTCCTTATGTAGGTGTCTCGTAGATTTTTCCACTTGGTTTTAACATCATCCACTGCACAAAATACAAGAGCGCATTACGAAAAATACCCTTCGGAACTACTCCAGAAAACATGGATCATGCTTAATGTTAAACTTACCGTGAAATCCTATTTTCTCAGCAATCTCCTGCCACAGGGCTTCTCGTTTGTCGATGTGTTTGTAGTCGATGTGGTTTTGGTCAAAAAGTTCTCTCCTGTCAGACACCAGCGATATTAAACCCTCCACATCCATTCTTCTCCAGTAGGTTTTCCTCCGGGTTTCAGAAGAGCTTTCAGTGCAGCTCTGGGCTGGAGATCGAAAGGTCAAGTCTAGTTGGATGGCCCATGGAGGGAATAAAATGGTGAAATAATTACCACAATGGTAGGAAAAAAACAAACATTACTTTGCTGTGGTTTCATCCAAATATGTAAATGAGATGAGCAATGGTGTAATATCACTTAAAACTATAGTGAATCAAGTGTTTCAATCTAACGAGTCAACGAGAACAAAATCATTACTCTGATAAACTAGCAGCAAACACCAGACAGAAAAATGGAGATTTCTGCAGTAGAAAAAAAAAAAGCCACTGTTGGCCTTTGCTCTTTTCTAATAAAGGAGTTGCGCCTCAGAAGATGAAATGCAATGAACTGGGGCTGCACAATATATATATATATATATATATATATATATATATATATATATAGAGCATCGATATCGCGATGTGTGCATCATCCACAAGTCACGTCGCAAGATATGCAATGCTGCGTTATGAATGGCCAGAATCCACAGGTCAAGACACCTGAGATTTCAATTTAACCATTCTAGAGAAAGTTCTCAAATTTCCATGTTTACGGTTTGAGAACATTTTAAAAAAGTTGAGAACATTAAGAGCATAAAAAAAAAGGTTTAAAAATTGAATTTGTCATGTCATTTTCATACGCTTATCCAGGGCAGTGTCATGGTGGCTGCAGACTTAGGAGAGAACCCCAGACTTCCCTCTCCCCAGACACTTCCTGGCGTTTCCAGGCCAGCCGAGATACATAGTCCCTACAGCGTGTCCGGGGTCTTCCCCAAGGCCTCCTCCCAGTGGGTCATGCCTGGAACACCTCCCCAAGTAGGCGTCCTGGAGGCATCCGAAACAGATGCCCAAGCCACCTCAGCTGAGTTCTCTCGATGTGGAAGAACAGCAGGGGCTCTACTTTGAGCTCCTCCTGAGTGACCGAGCTCCTCACCCTGTTTTTACACCCACCCTGTAAAGGAAACTCATTTCAGCTGCTTGTATCTGAGATCTTGTCCTTTCGGTCATGACCCAAAGCCTTTCGGCTCAGCTCCTTCACCACAACAGACCGGTACATTGACGCATTACTGCTGGCGCTGCACCAATCCGCCTGTCAATCTCCACTCCATCCTTCCCTCACTCGTGAACAAAACCCTAAGATACCTGAACTCCTCCACCTGGGGCAAGGACTTTCCTCCAACCTGGAAATGGCAAACCGCCTTTTTCCTGTGGAGCGCCATGGCCTCGGACTTGGAGGTGCTGATTCTCATCCCAGCCGCTTCAAACTTGGCAGCAAACCGCCCCAGTGCATGCTGAAGGTCCATGTTCGATGAAGCCAACAGAACGACATAGTCTGCAAATCACAGAGATAAAATCCTGTGGTCCCCGAACCTGACCCCCTCCAGCCCAAGGCTGCGCTTTGAAATTCTGTCCATAAAAATTATGAACCGAATTGGCGATAAAGGGCAGCCCTGCCCAAGTCCAACATGCACTGGGAATCAGTCTGACTTATAGCCGGCAACGCAAACCAGACTCCTACTTCATACAGGGACAAGACAGCCCTTAACAAAAGCACCTCTGACCCAATTCTCCCACAACACCCTCCACAAAATGCTACGAGGGACACAGTCAAATGTCTTCTCCAAGTCCACAAAACACATGTGGACTGGTTGGACATATTACCATGAACCCTCGAGCACCCTAGTGAGGGTATAGAGCCGGTCCAGTGTGCCACGGCCTAGATGAAAACCGCATTGTCCCTCCTGGATCCTAGGTTCAACCATCCGCCGGATCCTCATCTCCCTTTATACATTTAAAAATATACATTTGATTGATTTATTTATATGATGACTCTTTTACATTTGATTATTTAATTCCTGTACTTGAATACTGTTAGACACTCCCCAGTCAACCATAAAGCAGGGCTCGAAATTACCCTTTTTTCTTGGTAGCACCGGTGCTCCTAACTTTAAATGTTGGCTGATGCGCCTGAATTTAGTCACACCCACCAATTATGAGCACCGTTACTACAAGTGTTATACAAACATATTTATTGTATTTGAAAAATCAACACTAATCAAACCAACAAGCAAAAAAAATAAAAAAAATTAATAAATATGTCTCAACGAAATCCCGTTATCACAAGAAAATACATTTTTATAACAACATGACAGAGTGACTAAAGCATACATGGAGCGCTCACCGGCCCTGCACGCACTGCTTGAATGAATCTGTTAACGGTATAACTGTGCTGTTCTCACAAGTGCTTTCTGATATTGCACTGATTCTTTTGACATACTGTACCCTATTATATGCATACATGTTAATAGCAATACCGTTTTTTTAGGAGTAGCGATGTTAGTTTACTCAGTGCAAGCCTGTTTGCGATGGTGTACGTGGTGTTAAATTTGACAAAGCTGCCTCTTGCACGGCAGACAGCATCTGGTGATTATATGAAGGATTAAACAGAAGCTCTCGTGCTAGATGTGGCAAACAGTTACCTGAAAACTCTCCCACATAGCGGACTTGAAGCCAATAGAAGTCTTCTACTCTTGGAAAAGTGTAGATGGTGGAGTAACATTCAGCACATGGTCACTAATAAGATGTGTCATTATTTGTAACTTTAGATGGTTTCTAAAACTAAATCTGTTTGTTATCTTCATTCTCATCTTCAGCGCTTTACAATTTTTCGCGGTAGTAGCTCTCACTGTCCTCCTAAGCCAGAAGGCACTGAGTGATTGACAGCTGATATTAACCAATCATTCGCGTTCAGTGCTAGAGCAGTGGTGGGCCAATAAGAAGAGCGTGAAGGCGGGGCAAGCATTACGGACTTGGATTTGTTTACTGCAGCAAGTTGACATGACAACTGTTTTAAACCATTCCTGAGCGCTGCGTTTCGCGTTTCAAGTGCAGACAAACAGCTTAGAGATGCATTCTGCGTGAATGTTTCCCGAATCCGCGCATGTGCTGAATATTTTGCAGTAAAAACTGGTCGCACACAACAATTTTAAACACTCGCACATATGCTCCGAATTATATTTTAAGGTCGCATAGATAAAATTTCGGCCGCATATGCAACCAAAATGGGTCGCAATTTCGAGCCCTGTAAAGCACTGTTTACTTCACTTAAATATTTACTCCATTGTGTTTATGACTGTAGTTTGTTTATTATAAATGTCTACAAGTACATAAAACATTTATATTTCACTCCCATAAGAATCCTCTCAGTCAATCTAAAGTAATGACTTTCCAATTAGAGCTATTTTAGTCATGTGGTGAAATTATTTATAGCAGGGAGAAAAAATAAAAATGCAATGCCAAACTTTTCCAATATTGTGCAGCTCTACAATGAACACATGAGAGCGCTCTTAGGGAGCGCAGACAGATGCTCAAGAAGATAATAATAATAATAATAATAATTCTGAAGCACTGTTATGACAGGCAGACAGCTGAGTCCTTTTACAGACAGCAAAACCACATTTCAGATCAGTGTAAAGCTGGAAAAGCTACAAAAGTCCAGTAATGCGTCGCATCACAGACATTATCTGATCATCATCAACGAGTTTACTGACGCTCATGCTAGAAAGCAAATAATTTTGTTTCCATTGTAGTTTATGCACATTTCTTTTACCTGATATTAAATCAATGCTTCTCAGTTACTCATTTTCTAAAGCCTGAGGATGAGCTTAAAAAAAATATTATAATAATAATAAATTTAAAATAAATTCACAAATGTTGAGCATTTCTCAAACAGAAGGACCAAACTCTTCAACCCGTCCTCATATTTACCCTCTTTCCAAATGCTTAAACCTAAAAATGGCTGGTTTTACAAGAATTCTGAGCCATCCATCAAATTTTATGAGCTTACCCTCCAGCAGAAGATAGAAAAACTTTTATTCCAGTGTCAATCAGACTGTTGAACACTAATCAGCAGTGCACAAGTCTATGCACGTGTTTTATGTGTGTGTGATTTTTTTATTCTTTATTATACCAGGATCTGCTGAAATGATCATGAGCCCACAGTATACTTGTAAACAACTTGAGTTTCTTTCTTCTTTTGAACACAAAAATAGTTTGAAGAAAGCTGAAAACCTGTAACTGTTGACTTTAAAAGTAGGAGAAAAAAGATAAACTATTAAAAAAAACAAAAAAAACAAAAACAAAAGTTAACCGGTTACAGGTTTCCAACACTCTTCAAAATATCCTCTGTTCAAAAGAATTAAAAATGAAATTCAGAAAGGTTATGCAGGGGTTCCCAAACTCGTTTAGCCCACAACCCCCAAAATAACAATAGCAGTGACTTGCAACCCCCAATATTCATTGAGGTGGTCATAAATGTATAATCCTTGCACACAACGGCACAGACATACCAAAACGCCCAAGTCTATTCATCGTTTAATTTTGAAAAATGCCACTCGGAGATCACCCTCCATGTTCAGTTGTGACCTGTATTACTTTTTAAATGTACACGAGTGCGGTAGAGGTGTCAAAGTTTCATCTGGTGTCATATAATCAATCTGCTGCAGCTGACGCCATTGCTGCGTCTTTAAATTTAACGTATTGAAAGTTTAATTTACGTAATTGAAAGGCTGATGGCTTCTCATTTACGTATCGTTTTTGTAATGTTTATTAACATCTTAATGTTATTTTTAACTTATTTTGTTCTTCTGTAGGTTATGAATAAATATGGTCATTCTAATGGTTTAATAAAATGATTTTGATATTTGGAAAATCAAAACGCAATCAGAAGTCAACATTATCCCGCAATTCCCTGGGAGGGTCTCGACCCCCACTTTGGGAACAAATGAAGGAGCTTGATGAGGATTCAGCAGCCTAGAAATGCACCCTAGTAAGGCTGCATTTCTAGGTATATATATATACATGTGTATATATGTATATATATATATAAAGTTTGTCTTTTAGGAGTTGCTTTGTGTCCAATAAAAGCACTTTATGAGGCACTCGTATGACATTCTTCAAAGTCCTGCTTCATGTGTTTGATTTGACTTATGCTTTAAGGATGTAAAAATCAACCTGTTTGTTCCTCAGGATCTTCTTGTTTTATTATGAAGACTTGTTCGATCCTCACGTCTTCGCTCTCCTCTTTAACATTCGACATGTTTATATAGACGTCACGTCTCGCTTCACTGTTCACCTGTTTAGGATGAAAAATCACAATTACCAGAAAGAAAAAAAAATTTAACAAGAATAAAAACTGCGAGTGGAGCGGTGGTGAAAAAGGTTTGAGAAATTAATTCTGCATCCATTGAGAGACTTTAATTCTAATTCATTAATTCTGAGCTAAGTTTTGAGCAGCTGACGGCGCTCTAGGCATAGAAAAGTTGGTTTTATATTCACACATTCGTAATTTCCCCTTAATAATATAATTTCTTTAAAGTATTATTTGCAAACTCCAAACAGTGAAGTCATATTAGCAGCCAATGACTATCAAAGTACAACATTTGTTCACAGTCGGTTAAACACAGAGTGTTAATGTTGTTTTCAAGCCACACTTGCATGCTAATTCCGATCGAATATTCAAAGTAACATGGTAATCAATATAGAGACTTCTAAATGAACGCATGTGAATATAAAACCAACTTTACCTCGATTTCTAGGCTGGTGTTTAAAAGCGGACGGTGCTCTATGTACTAATGTACTGTTGTGTTCAAATATCCATGTGTAGGGTGTATGTAAGTGAATGTAGATGTTTAAATGGAAACAGATTCTTTCTTTATTATTATTTATCCTAGTGAGTGTTTTAACATTTACCCTTCAGGAACTGCAAACGGAAATCAGCAGTTTTGCTGAAGCCTGGCACAATAACTTAAAGGATAAATATGAATTTGTAGCTAAATAATTAAAGGTGCCACAACTTTATCATGTCACTTGATCATATAGATAATTATCATATTTACAGGCTTTTTGCACCTGCACAACTTTGGTTTTCCATGTGCCCTTAAGTGTAATCGTGTTGTTTACATTTACCTCTATTTTTAGATTACATTATATGTGTAATTGTATTCATGGTCTTTTTTTTTTTTATTCTATTTTTTATTAATATATTAATAGAGGTAAAGTTGGTTTTGTATTCGCAAATTAAGACTTTTCCCCCCTAATAATAAAATTTCATAAAAGTATTACTTGCAAAGCCTCAACAGCGAAATCATATTAGCAGCAAATGACTATCAAAGTACAACATTGTTCACAGTCAAATAAACAGTGTTAGTGTTGTTTAGAAGTCATACTTGCATGCCAATTCCGATCGAATATTCAAAGTAACATGGTAAACAATAGAGACTTCTAGATGAACGAATATAAAACCAACATTACCTCTATTTAATATTATATGTTAGGCACCTGAGAGTAATGCAGTTTCGATTCTCTGCATGCTAACTCATGCATTCAGAGATGTCGTTTACACTCACAGAGCTACATTACACATCAACTAAGATCATACAGATATCATAATCAAACGTCCCTTTAATACTTATTTGCATTCAAATTAATTGCTTGCTTAAATTACTTCAGTATCTTATATTCTGACATTTTAAAAACGGTCTGCCCTTTTTATTTTTGTTATTGCTGTTTTTTTTTGTTTTTTTTTGCTTAACACTGATGTATTATTTGCAATGAACTTGTACAACTGTTTACAATTAATATTTGTAACATTGTCAGTATTAAACTGAGGAAAACATCTGTAAAATTAGCCAAAAACTAATGACTGAGTAAAAGTTGGTTTTATATCCGCACATTCAGACATTCCCCTTAATAATATAATTTCATCGAAGTATTATTTGCAAACTCTGAACAAATGTTGTACTTTGATAGTCATTGGCTGTTAATATGATTTCACTGTTTACAGTCGGTTAAACACCGAGTGTTAATGTTGTTTAGAAGTCATACTTGCATGCTAAATCAGATCGAATATTCAAAGTAACATGGTAAACAATACATAGACTTCTTAATGAACATATGTGCGAATATAAAACCAACTTTACCTCTATTGACTGAGACCATGTTTACTAAGTTACAGTAAAAACGGACTGCCTGTACTGTCAGGTTCACTCTCTGTTCTCGTGTGAACGTGATTTGCAGCATTACACAGTGTTACATTCAGTGAAAAATTGTTTGCTTTTCATTTATGATAAAAACTTTCGCTGTCATTAAACGGTCCGTGTTGATCTATACACTTCAGGAGTAATAAATCGAGCCTACCTTCTGTTCAATCGCAAGCACGGGAGCGCGCCGCGGTCTTATGACGTCACACGGCTACCAAAACAAAAGTTTTGTTCAATAAAAGTCTCTTAATTCATAAAACAATATGCCGGAATAAACGCCGTTAAAGAGCTTAGAATTAGGAGAGTCTATGCTCTGACGCAGGTCACTCTTAATACGTGTAAATAAGGAATTAAAGTGAAATATGTGATGATATATTTTAGTAAAAAAAAAAAAAGTTTAATAACTTAACCTCAATGCTAAAATATAGTTGTGTTCTCGGACATCCTTATCTTTAACCACTTAAATTTAAAAGGTTTAAAGATAATACATGAGAAAGGAGGATCAAATTACCATTTGTTTATCTTTCCATTTTTTTTACAATTTGCACCAGAGAACAGTAAGATATTTGTAAATAACAAAATTCAAGCCTACACAAAATGACAGCAATAGTAACAATGAGAAGTTAAGCGCAAGCTGATATTATAAAAACAAAACTGTAAATAAAAAAATTAAAAAAAAAAAAAAAAGCAAAAGGAAAGGTGGACTCATGTATGCGTGATTTGCACAATACCGGTCCATGATATTCCAATAATCTATTTCTTGTTTTTAACCAATCTAAGAGATTTAATAAATACATAAATTTAATTTTTATTTAATTAAATAAAAATGTGAAAATGAAGTTGGTTTTATAGACAACTTTATTTGAACCTGACAATACAAGAACATAAGAACGAAGTTCAAGGGATCACAGACAGATCTTAAAAAAAGGTCAATAACCCACAAAGTCATAAGAATAAATATAATGATTGACAAATAACATACCATTAGACAAAGGAGAATGATAATGATAATAATAATAAAATTACTAAGCAAACTAAATTAAACATGAATTAAATTACTTAAATTACCATAAGGAAAGCAGCTAAAAAGCGAGGATCTTCTTTAAATACATCTGTTTAATATTTCAGAAATCCAAGTTTTTTTCCCAAGAACATTCTATTCTAAAATAAAAAATATTTGCAAATATCTGTTTGTGAATTAAAAATTTGCCATAGAAGATCAGGCGTTTATCTTTTGAGTTTTAATAGAAAATAATGTCTTTTAGACCAGTGGTTCTCAAACTGTGGTACGTGTACCACTAGTGGTACATAGGCTGCCTTCTATTGGTACACAGAGTAATCCAATTTGTCATATGTACATGCAACATATCAAAATTTATCAAAAATGGCTCAAAAATGACTATGACGAGATATAGCCTATACTCATGAAGTATTTCCAGGCTTCGATGAATAGTATATATGTTAACACTTTTTTTTTTTTTTTTAAACTTTAACTATAGCCTACCATTTTTTTATAAATAAACTTTTAAAAGAATTTAAATTTAAACATTGACATTGTGTTTGTTTGTTTACATATAAAAGCACAGTAGTTTAAATTTTCAAACCATTTAAAAAGGTTTAAAGTGGCCGATAATAATAAATATTATTAATAACATTAATTAATCTGCCACGTTATTAAACTATGCAGAGCTGTAGCTACTTAATTAGGCCTACTACACTACTCTATTTCAATACTGGTCATTATGGTTTTATAGACAAGTCTTTTATTTTGATGTGGCGACGTGACATCATACGGAGGCTCCGCCCCCGTGTTCGCGATTCAGCATATGAAAGGTTTGTATTTGTAAGCTTTTATTGTAAACATCGATTAAAAATACATCAGTCAACGTTCTTACAAAATTATAAATAAACGGAATATTTTTCATTGTACTGGTACTTGTAACAATGAAATTACATTTGACAGTAATGCTGACCTAGCGTCAACATCATTACGGGTATAAATAGCAGCAAATTTGACATCTCTCATATTTACAAAATATATTATTTATTTATTTAAAAAAGTAAACTAGAAATTATGAAAAAAGAAAAAGTTGATTGTTACATGTCTACCTACAACATTTAAGACAGGAATCAAGTTATCTTGCTCTTAATTTCTGTTAATGCTGCCAAGGAGATCAAATCTTTAAAAAAGGACGCTTATGAATTCATTCACAACAAATACCGCAAAAAAAGTTAAACACGTTCTTGCAGCAACATTAAAGATGCTAAATATATATATATATATATACATATGTGTGTGTGTGTGTGTGTGGGGGGGGGGGGGCGAATACAGAGAAATATTACTGAGGTAAAGTTGGTTTTACATTCACACATTCTCCTTAATAGTATCAAAAAAAAAAAAAAAAAAAAAAAGTACCAAATTCTAAATATGGAATTCATATTATCAGCAAATGACTATCAAAGTAGAACATTGTTCAGTCAATTAAACGGCGCTAATAATGTTTTAAAGTCATTCTTACATGCGAATTCAGACCAAGTACCATGGTAAATAGTTTAGAGAGCGTGTCTGAGCGAACGTGAGAATATAAAACTTTACCTCAATGAAACAAAACAAAAAAAAAAAAACAGGAAAATGTTCCTCTTGATCGACTAAACTGCAGATTTGATTCGTTTGTTGCACAACATACCTCATTAATTATTTTAAACGCTTTAAATATTTATTTTACATTCTTCTCTTACCTGAGCTGTTGTTTACTCTCCTCTTAAACACAGAGAAAAACTCCTGCTGAAGCGACTGCATCCTCACACTGTTATAAAGATGGCGTTTATTAAAGAGGAGAATGAAGACATCAGGATTGTAGAAGTGTTCACAGTGAAACAAGAAGATCTTGAAGAACAAACAGGTTGGTTTTCATTGTCAAAACTGAACTCAAGTCGTTTGACCCTCATTTAGATCTGCAGCTCTACACAAGCGAAGGAGGGTTTAGAAGAATGGCATACGAGAGCCTCAACATGGCGTCACTGCAACATATAATCGCCTGAATGCCCAATTAGTCAAATCAGGTGTTTTTAATTAGGGTTAAATCTCCAATTTGAAAGCTGCGTCGCTTCAGGAACTGAGTTTAACACGGCTGTTCTAAATGTAGAGTAGGTACGATATAAGATTACAAAATATAACATCTATGTTACAGCCTATATATGTTTAGGACACTAGTTATATAATACAGCTAGAACATATTAAAGAGTTGTGACAACTGATGTTAACTTCAAGAATCTTCTCTTTAATTTATCAACAAAAGCAACTCCAGTACTCCAAAAAAGAAAAAAAAAACATAAATAATTCACAAATTATGGCTACAAATATGCAAATTTCAATAATAAAAAAAATTTAAATGCTCGAGGAGCAAAAAGGACCACCCAACGTTTAACGAACATTTAAAATGCATTATGGCTGTCTGGAATACTTCTGATTGTTCAGTGATGAAATTCCAAGATATTTTAATTTTAATCAATTAATCAGTGATTAATTAGTCAACCGGTGAATCGTAAGTCTGATCAGTGATTGGCTCCTGCACTGGAATGTGGGGCTTAATTCATCACATTAGCCCCTTTCACACATACAGACCTTTCCGGAAAATTACCGACAATTTTCCGGAAAGGTTGTATGTGTGAACAGGTCCTTTTTGAAAATACCGGTAAATTCGTTCTGGCTATTTTCCGGAAAGAGAAGTTGTAACATTACCGGCAATTTGCCGGAATGCTGCGCTGTGTGAATGTAGAAGGAATATTTCCGGAATAAGCGCGTGCACGTCTAGAACGTGCTGACGTAAGACTTCTGCTTTGGCCAATCACAACAGTCAGACGCATTTACGTCCGCGCGGTTTGTGAGAATAAAAGCCTTTGAATATTTTTCCAGACGCATTTAGCTGCTAGAAGTTAGTCAGATCACGTTTATATGTTCTCCTTAATGCCAACTGTGCAAATAATCATCGATGAAATGCTTATGATAAGCCGTTGTTTGTTTACCTTCAAGCTTTGCGTGTGCCCATGAAACAGCCTGTGAGCGCCTGCACACGTACATATTATGAACATCTCGACATGAGAAAGTGATCCTGTGAAAGTTGTTTACAATATTGATCATCAAAAGAGTTTGTAATTTAGTCAAATGTTTACAAATACAAGCGCAGCCGTTTAAAGCTCATTTGTGGTGAATGATGTCAGAATTTACCGGTATTTTGGAATGGATGTGTGAATGCTCTTTTCCGGAAAATTTCCGTGACGTCCTCGCCTGTGTGAACAGCGCTTTTTTGAATATACCGGTAAAGTCGTTCCGTAAATTTTCCGGATATTTACCGGTATCACTGTGTGAAAGGGGCTATTAACCACTTTTTCCCATTCAAAACTTTATTAGTGACATGTTTTGTGTATTCTAGTCTTTTACAGACCTTTTTCTTTGGAGCGTAAAATTACCCATTATGCTTTGCGTGTATGCGCAAGGAGCATGCTAAGAACTTCTGGTCGTCAGCTGATGCGTATAAACACATGGACACCTTTGAAACGATGGTTTTAATCTATTTTAACTGCTTTTAGCATCTTTGAACTAATACTGTTGTCGATCAGCACCACCTTCTGAGGTCCGTTCTTCATACGTGGATTACTCAGTTAGCTGGATTTGGATATTGACGATTTGACACGATCCAGGTTCGTTTCGTTCTTCAAAGCTCATCCGAGAGTTGTTGTCATGGAAACAGTTCTGCTAGCTCAAACCTGATCGGGAGCAGGTTCAATTCATATAAACAGGATTAGATCGGCTCAGTTCAAGCAAAGATAATACAGAAAGTATGTTCCGAATTCTGATATTTTCTTACAGTAGTAGTTATATACACTTGGGAAAATGGTACATATTTTTTAACTATATATATTAAGTTATAGTCATTAATAAAATAAATAAAGTTATACATATTAATAAAGCGTATGCAATCTGCACCCTCGAAATGAAAGTACAAAGACTGCCACCTGGTGGTGCAAAGAGAAAACTTATTGATATGAACTTTTTAGATCGCTTTAGTACAAATTGTGTATAATAGAAATGCACAACATGTGACTGTTTTTTAAAGCAATAATACATTTATGCAGTCATAAACATGTTTGGATAGTTAATATGCCAGTGATGCTTCACAAAAGTTGCAGACGCCTTTACCAATATGAAAATGCTTTTGTAAACAACCAGTTATTCTTTACATTGATTAAACGGCTACTATAATAAAGAAAATCTTTTCTAAATGTAGAACTAAATACATTGATTTGCATTGAAATACATGATGAATACTCTTGTCTTGACAAATGAAAGTGTAAAGCCTGCAGTTTACAACAAATGTGGAAAGTTCTTGTGTGTCATATTTAACAAACCGTTTACTGCTAATTTGATGTAATTTTGCTCACATGGATAATTGAATATTTCTCAGATGATGTCATTACGCTGCTGTGCCGTCAGCCAATCGTGGCATTGCTGATCATGATTTCGAGGATCGATAGATCTGTCCTTCACAACACACGCAGCGATCTCAGATCAGTTCATCCAGACATTCTAATCTGATTCGCGAACTTGTTTGAAGAACCAAATTAGCGAGAGATCAGTTATCAAGATGAAAAGATCCAGGATCTGCCAAATCATCTTAGATCATTTAAGCGAGGTACGAAGAACGGACCCCTGGACTGAATATTTAGAAATGCGATCTAATAGGATGGAAAACAATTGTGTGTGAGGCATTTCCCCCTTGTTGTCAGACGGCATCCTCAATGAAGCCTGTAAGAGCCATTATGTTTTTTGTAATGCTGTTTTTGACCACTGGGTGGAGTGGGGGTTTGGAGGAGTATATAGGTAGACAAAGACTTAGAACAACAGGTGTGTAATTAGAGGGAAGAACAACATTTTTTGACAAATGTAGTGACACAAATGACCATTTTGTCACTTGAGGTGTTGTAGGGTTGTTTCTGACGCGTGAGAGCTCAACAAACAATTGTCCTCCAAATACTGCTTATCAGATTTATTTTTTGCACAGACAGTTCTTATGGTTCAATTTCCACTCACAGTCTGATATATAAATGCTCATAAAATCACATTGAATGCCTCCATAAAGCTCTTTCAAACACGGTCAAAAAATGGCTTCTTTGTGGATCATCATGCATCATTTTTGGACTTTCTTGAGGAGCAGCCGTGATGAACTGAATGAATGAAACAAAGGTATGTGTAGCGCTACTTAATGAATGACTTTGTGTGCACACAATAGCGTAAATCCAATGCATTGGTTGCTTAAGTTTTAAAGTTGCTTAGGAGGCAAACGATTTCAGCTGTGAATATGAGTTTAATGAATTGTGATGATGATGGTGCTGCTACCTGTGAACAGACAGAGACTATTGTGCCATTTGAGAAGGTTGAAATAGAGCATGTGAGGGAAAAGCGGCTCATTAAGCTCACTCCTAAGGCTTTATTGGAAAAATTGGAAACTCTGCAAAAGACAAGAAAGTGTAAACTAAGCAAGGCAAAGAACTTAATGGCTATTATAAAGGATTTTATGTCCAACCGAGAATATGAAAAGGAGGTGCAGTGTTCTTTTGAGAAATTCATCAAATTGAGAGACGAAACAAAGGAAATGCACAATTCGGTGATGGTTCTTTTGCCCAGTGAAGAAAAGGAAAAACAACAAACATGGTTCAATGGAAAGATGTTGATTTGCGATGAGTTTGTAGATGATGTTGAGAAATGGTTGAGCGCTGAAAGTCAAGTTTCATGTTCTGGTGTTGATGCAAGGGTATGTCAAGAGGATGTTAATCCAGATGATAGCATTTCCAACATATCCTCATGTAAATCCAGTAAATCGTCCAGTAAGAAAAGTTCAAGCAGTGTACGTAGTGGGAGATCTTCTGCTGCTTCTGCACGAATCATGGCAGAGGCAGAGAAAGCTGCATTAATGGCTCGTGCAGCTGCTTTAAAGGAAAAGCATGCTTTGGAGGTACAACAAGAAAAGCTGAGACATAGACAAGAACAGCTGGATATTGATGCAGAGATTGCAGCCGCTACTGCAAAAATTGCTGTTTTAAATAATCAGTCTCTCAAAACCTGCACTGATGATATGAATGCATATTGTGATAAAGGAACTGTTACTCTCAACCCTCATGCAGAGGCATATATGCCAATAGAAGTCTCCCTGCAAGAAAGCTCAAGGAACGTGATTCAGCAAATTCACAGTGTGCCACAAATTGATCCTCATTTCACGTCACAAATGCAATCCTCAAGTGTAATGCAGAACAGTGATGGAATAATAACTTCGAACCTTTGTAGTATCTTGCAAAAACAAAATGAGATTACCACTCTGCTTGTACAACAACAACAATCCAGCACACTGCCTCAAAGAGATATTCCTGTGTTTGATGGCAATCCTCTGCAATATAAAACTTTTATGAGAGCATTTGAGCATGGAATAGAAGACAAAACCAAAAATAGTAGAGATTGTTTATACTTTCTGGAACAATATACACAAGGTCAGCCAAGGGAGATTGTGCGCAGTTGTCAGCATATGGATGCACAAAGAGGGTATGTGCAAGCTAAAGCATTGTTAAAGGAACATTACGGCAATGAATTCAAAATAGCTTCTGCATATGTAGAAAAGGTTTTGGCATGGCCTTCAATAAAATCTGAGGATGTAAATTCATTGCAGAGTTATGCTCTCTTTTTGCGTGGATGCTGTAATGTAATGGAAGAAATTGACTATATGGAAGAGCTAGAGATGCCAAGCAATTTGAAAACAATCATCATGAAGTTGCCTTACAAATTAAGGGAAAATTGGAGAACTGTTGCATGTGAGTTAATGGAAAGACGCAAGCAGAGAGCACGGTTTAAAGA